GGTACTATTGTAAATCTCTGTTTCCTGTCAGAGGGTTCAAAGAGTTCTGTTAATTATAATCTGAAGAAATATTTTTGCTTACATAGTTACAGCTCCTGCTTGATTATAGACTGTTATAAAGAATTAGTATGTGATATACATTATAAAGTGTTCGCAGTTATATCATTAAAGAATTGTCCAGTTAAGTGCAAAGTTGGTGTTAAAATACTAATTATTAAATAAGTAAAAAGTAAGTAAATAAATAAATGTTTTTCTTTATTTGTGAAGTTTATTTTGACCTAGGTAGTGGATGTTGTACACAAAAAGACTAATTATTAATCAGTGAACCTCTGTGAGCTTTTGTAGCCATTTTTGGGAGGGCTACTCTGAAAGGCTGCATCTTATTATGCTTTTAAGGGTGTTGTACTTAGAGAAAAATATGCAGTCCTCTTTTTCTAACCCCTGGCTTTTCTTAACCTTCTAGATTAAACTTACATTATTTAAAGATACTTTTCAATTGCATCCTTAAGACGTTTCTTCTGCCCTGTTTTCAGATGTTAGTTCACTGCTTGAATATCTTAATATGGCCCCTCTGTGCACATGACTGGTTTATGTTAAATGCTTGCAAGAGCATTGCTTTGTGCTTCTAGATGAATTACATTCCCATAACTAATTATCAGTAACTATTTTGTGCTGTTTAATGGTCAGAAGGGCTTGCAGGTGACAGAGGTAAGCATTAGTAGGGCCAAGTGTCCCCGCTGTGCAGTAAGAGTCAACCCTCTTTCATGGAAGTTTAATTTATTGTAGCATTTAACGCCACATCAGGGCGTAATCTGACAGCCTCCCATGCTGACATCCTGATTTTAGAAGCAGTGCATCATTGCACCGTGATCTACGAAGGAGCATGAATCATTAACTGCATTTAATTCTGAATTTCCAGTGAAAGCTTAGGCAGGACTTTGCAGTATACGCTTCTAAATAGTTTTAGGTTCCCCCTATTCAATTTTTTAAGTGAAGAAATTAAACAAAATGGTTACTACATTCCCTTCCAAATTCTTCATTGTCTGTTTCTTTCCTGGCACTACAGCGGCTAATTTGCCATTCAGTCAGGATGCACTTACTCATACATTCCTTCATGGGTTTATACACTTATCCATGTATCCTCTATCTACTCTATTTTACATTAGGCTCATTCTATGTAACAGGCACTGTGAAGGATACAGAAGAAATATTAAGATGATTTTCTGCTTTTAGGAGCTCTTGGCGTATCTGGCAAAGTAAATATGCCACCAAATGTTACATAAAACAAAATAATGTATGCCGATTTCCTTTTCTTTGATCACTTTCTAGGTGTTGATTTTCTTCCCAACTTTTGATGATGTTCATGTGTGGAAGGGTTTTCCACATACTGAAAGTTATATTCCACCATGAACATATGATCACTGGTAGTGCTGTTAAAGAGAGCTTTGTGGAAATACTTAGCATCATTGGCCGGGCCAGTTATGCAGTCCTGTTTCACCATGGTAGCTGGGTTGGAAAACATATCACCTGATCTGATGCGAGGAGGCAATTAGCTCATGTTCTTGGCACCCAAATTTCTTGAATTTGGTGAATGCTCTTGTGAAATTCAGAAAACTATTTATACATCTTGATACACTTCTATCTTTCTACTTATCTTGAATATGAAAGGAAACAAATACATCAGGCTACAACAGGATGTTGTGGTTTGAAGTTGTCTTGTGATGTTAGATGTGGTCCACCAACAACTATCACGTTTAGGAAATTTAAGACCAGGTTCTCCTTGGCAGTAGAGAGCAAAGAGATGCTTTGCCTGTTGTGTCATTGAGCTTATTGAGAAAGATGGCTACCATACAGATATACAGCATTTGCTTCAAACCGTTGCAAACATTATCTGCTGACCTTTTAATATATTATATTTCTTTAGATGTCTTCAAATGCATTTGGGGACACAAAAAATAGAACAGTTCCATCCTGACGAATAGAAATCATCTTTTCTAGGACTGCGGTCCCCAACTCCCGGGCCATGGCCCATTGCTGGTCCACGGCCTTTTAGGAGATGGGTTGCGCATCACCACCCGAGCTCCACACCACACTACCACCCACGTGGTAGCCCACCCCACCCCCCATCTCCAGTTCATAGAAAAATTGTCTTCCATGAAACTGGTCCCTGGTGCCAAAAAGGTTGCCTAGGAGATGGCCTAGGGGATGACACCAAAGAACTTTACAGCAGAACTTTCTTTCTTTCTTTTTTTCACAGAGGATTTCTATTTGAAGCATCTCAAACTATGACTATAGTGAGATTGCCATTTTCCATGCATAGTATTACCCAAGCTGAGAACCTCGAATCAGTATCTGACTTTCTTCCCTGGCTGCCCTATCTAAGTATGCACTGCACTTCTCTGGGATAGAGTTGCCAGTAAAATACGAAGATTTAACAATCTCAGAGTTTTTGTTCAGTGGTTATCCCTGGTTCTGTGACTCACACCTTTCAGGTGGATGTGATTTGGTTATATCCTTAGGGTCAGCTAACCTCAGAGATCAATGGGCTTGCAAATTTGGAGCATAAATCTTGTAGGTGCTGTCTATCAAACTTTGTGTTCATCTCACCCACACTCCAAATCTGACCCTCTTAGTATCATGCTAGATATCACAAATCCCATCACAAACAATAATAGGGCATCTCTGCCCCTTCACCTCATGTTAAGTGACAACTTCCTAACGTGCTGATTGGAGTGATGAGGTGTGAAAGGCCCTTCCATGTGCGCTTCCCGTTAATGTAGTCTGTGGGGATTGAAGAACAGTCACTTAGGTGCTAGTCCCTAAGTCTCGGTTCTTGATAAAATTTGTGGATGAGCTTACCAAGAGTGAATTTTAGATGACTGAAAGCATTCTGAGTATTTAAAGAATTTCTGTTTAAATTTTGACTGTGCTCATTTGTAACTGGAGAGACTTAAGAAGAGTGAGGTTGTCTTAGTCAGTTTGGGCTGCTATAACAAAATACCATAGACTGAGTAGCTTATAAATAAATTGATTTCTCACAGCTCTGGAGGCAAGAAAGTCCAAGACCAAGGCACTGGCAGATTTGGTGTCTGTTGGGGTCCTGGTCGTAGGTGTCCCCTTCTAGCTGCGTCCTCACATAATGGAAAGGGCAAGGCAACTCTCTGGGGCCTCTTTTATAAGGGCACTAATCTCATTCATGAGAGCTCCACCCTCATGACCTAATCACCTCCTAATATCTCACCTTGGGGCTTAGGGTTTCAACATAGGAATTTTGCTGGGACACAAACATTCAGACCGTTGCAGAGGCTTATAAAGAAAAACTTAAGATTAGAAGTGCAATAGAACTATGGCCTTTAAGAGTTCGCTCTCCTTTACTAATTCAGATGTATTGCCTGAAATAGAAGCTTTTTATTTCTGTGGTGAGTTGCTTTACTGTTTATTATCAGTTAATGCCATGGAAACTCACACCACACCTTCATAGCCCCCTCTGGTGTCTGTTTTTCTCTTTGTATTAAATAAATTCACATTTATTTGTGGGATGTTAGTGGCTTTCACACCAGAATTAGCTACAACTAGGCTGCCTTTATTAAATTCAGGAGGAAAGTATAATTGCCAAATTAATATAGAAAGTTGCATTGACAATCTTATAATAGGTAGTAGTAAAAAATTGATTAAACTGTGTTCTAAATTTTAAATTTGTTATATTTATCTAATTATAAAAAGAAACTCTGTTTTTGGAAGAATGGGTTCTAGTGTTCTATATCACTGTAGGATGACTATAGTTAACAATAATATATAATTTCAAATAGCTAGGAGAAGGATATTGAATGTGCCCAACACTAAGAAATGATAAATGTTTGAGATGATAGATATACTAACTACCCTGATCTGATCACCAGATATATGTATTGAAACATTACTAGGTACTCCACGAATATGTACAATTGTTATTTGTCAATTAAAAAATAAAATAAAATTTAAAAAGAAATACAAAGAAGAAAACTAAAATTGCCTGTAATCCTTTAATATAGAGATTATGCTATTTTTATTTATTTTCAACAACCTCTTACATGTACATGTGTGCAATTATACACAAATACATATGCTAATCTAAATACCAGCTTTTATTAATAAAATGAAATTATCATAATATTTAGTTTTGTATCCTTTGTTTTTAAACTTTGTATTACCATTAATGTGTTATGATAATTTCTACTTTTTTATGTTGAAAACAATCAATGTGTTAAATATGTTTATATTTAATACATAAATCTGCCTAGGATAGATAATTTCAATGTTTTGTAGCTTTTGATATTGATTACAAATGCTTCCTCAAAATATGAACCAATTTTTATTATTGATAATAATTCTCATTTTATTCAAACTTCACCCAAATTTATTTTATAAAAATCAACTAGTTTCCTGTTTCATAAGGGAAAACATTTATTAATAGTTTTTATTTCTTAGTGAGGATAAACTTGTATATGAAAATATTAAAATTTTGGAAATAAATTTTATAAGATTGAAGGGACAAACTATTAGTAAGTTTGTCAAAAAGAGAAAAACATTTAAAATTGTGTAATATCTTAGTGACCTCTTTAAAGTGTCATATTTTAAGGGAAGTTTTGCCCATGTATAAAGGGGAAAAATAATCTCTTTGGATATTAGGCAGTGTTTGATGATTTGGCAACAAAAGTTGTATGAAATTTCAAAAATTGCTCATCGAATTTGAAATACTGACATCTAACTAGCTGATGCATGACATTTAGATTATAATACATTTTCTTTTTAAGAACTGGGGAATCAATATATTGAAGATTTAAAGACTATTATTTTCAGTGTAAGGATTTGGAAATGCTTGGATTTGTTGTCATTTAGGGTGAAATGAACTATTTTGCTTGAAAGCAACTCATCTGTGAATATAAAAAAATAAATACAGAAAACCCAATGCCTAATAGTGATACCTAACATTTACATTTTCTCTGCTTTTTTCTCTTTAGGACATCCAGGCGGAAATCGATGCCCATAATGACATATTTAAAAGCATTGATGGAAACAGACAAAAGATGGTAAAAGCTTTAGGAAATTCTGAAGAGGCTACTATGCTTCAACATCGACTGGATGATATGAACCAAAGATGGAATGACTTAAAGGCAAAATCTGCTAGCATCAGGTCAGAATAGTCAATAGCAAAATAAAAATAATGGGGGTAGATTTTTGTGATTTTTATGTATCAGAAAGAGAAAGGACAGCTTTACTACCAATGCTACTTTCTCAGAAATAGTCTAAGATTTAAATGCAAAGACTATTTTCTTGAAAGTTATAGTTGTAGCTCCATTTATATTCCATGTTCTCTGCCAACTGTTCTTGACTATTCACAAATGTTCATATCATATTTTAAATGTAATGCTACTACTACTACTAATGTTACCAACTCTTGCTAATTACTGAGTGTTTACCTTGACCCAGTATTATGTTAGGATTTTTACAAACATCATTTTGTACTAAAAATATCCTAGTAAGAGGGATGGTACAATCCTTTCTCATATGAGGAAATAGAGGTTTAATGAACATAATGAACTAGCCAAGTTTTTGGGCTAACAAGTGCCAAAACCGGGATTTGAATCTAGATCTTTTTGACTTTTGGCAATGAACATGTTTTGCTTCATCATGCTGTTTGTATATCCAATTTGAAGATGTATTTATAGAAATTAAATGTCTTTTATGGACACTAAAATGGAAAACTGATGATTCATGCCTACATTTGAAGAGAGTAAAATTAAATAAGGCGGAACCTTAGGACTAGAATTCTGAATAGGAAAAGACTTTGAAAAATTACCCAACATGACAGAATGATTATTGTTATTGGGGGCCAAGAATATTTTAAGATTATATTTAATAGCTAATGGACAGTTCCTAATTACATATAAATTTAGAGAATACTGACTGAAGAAAATGTTGTTGAGAAGCATCCAAAGAGGAATGTTGGTAGGAAGTCCTAGATCAGTTTTTTTTTTTCCTGTGTTTCATGTGTACAATCTTAAAACTAAGTGGTCTTGAATTTGTTTCTTTGACTTTACTCTCTGATCTTGGGCAAATTAGTCCCTCTGAACCTTAGTTTTCTTATTTATAAAATCAGAATATAAATATTTAACACTCATGATTGTTGTGAAGATTGAATGGGATAATTTGATAGTTCCTTAATCTATGTAAAGCCTTTCTCAAGAAGCATATAGTTTATTTATTTTTTTTTAAGTTGATAAAGCAGCATAGTGGATCTATTTCAACTGGTTTTGGGATTCCATAGAATGACTTCATGAAGAGCAGAAATCGTCAATGATTATTTATTGTGAATGAATTTTTTAAAAATTTGTTTCTGATATGATGTCCTGCCAGGCACAGTGGTTCACACCTGTAATCTCAGCCAGTCAAGAGGCAGGAGGATGGCTTGAGTTTAGGAGTTCAAGGTTGCAGTAAGCTATGGTCACTGGGTGACAGAGTGAGACTCTGTCTCTAAAAAAATAAAAATAAATAAATAAGTAAATGTCCTGAAAGGTTTTTATTCTGCCAGGGCTCGTAGAGGGGAATTTGCAGTTCCTTTTACAGGTACGGAGGGGAGTAATGTAGCATGTGTATGGATACTTCTGTGTAAAGATCTCATTGGAAATTATGTCAGCATCAGCCAACTACTTTTTTTTAAAGACAGGAAAATTTGAAAGTATTGTGCAGTGAGATAATATACTTGTTTAGGAATTGAATTTTCAACTGGCTAGATCCCATCGGGTTGTGACTTTCTGTTCCTCATAAATGTCAACAAATAAAAATATTAAAAATATTAACACAGTAAAAAGCATTCACTGAGGAACCAGCAGAAGCAACATCTGGGCTAACAAGCTAAAAGTCACAGGGCTAGCCCTGGTGAAGATTGTTTACATGGTGATGAAGTTTTCAGAATTTAGAGAATTAACTCATCAGGAAGGAAAATTTAATGAAGGCCTACATCATAAATAGATCATTCCAAGTAGAATGCTACAGACAAAAAAATCTTTGGTCTTTCTTGGAGAGTTACCACCTAAGCCTATCAAGTCACATTTTTTCTAACCCGGAAAGAAAGAACACATAAACTACATACAGTTGGAATATTATATAATAAGTAAATTAATGTTATTTTTAGAAGACAGGAGAATATGCATGTGCCAGTGGACTTGTGCATCAAGGTAGATCATGCGGTCCAGTAAAATGTGATAATGAATTAAAATAATCTTTAGCCAGACTACTGAACTCAAGAGATCCAGGCACTTATTCAAATATTTAATAAAAATTTACTTCTATGTTTAAGGCATTGCTAATTATAAATAAAATGTGGCCCCTGCCCCTAGTGGCTCACAGATCTTTTCAGATCACTTAGGAACCAAAGGAGAAAGTGTTTACTCTCACTTCAGATGACCATTAGAGGCTTAATAAAAGGGGCAGTTCCTAAGCTGAGCCTTGAAAGATGTATAGTTATTCAACAGATAGATTGGGTGAGGACCAGGGAAGGGCATCTAAGCTGGAGGCTTGAAATAACTGTGTTTTCATGAAAATTAAGAAGTCCAGTCCAGCTGAGAATAGATTTTGCTGGTACTATAGTAAGGGAAAGACTGTGGCTAGAAAAAAGGTGGAGAGAGAGGTAAGAAACACCTGTGTGTACCATGCTCCCTTCCACTGGTGATGGAATTGGGAACTTTTTGGGAGAGACAATCAGATTTGAGTTTTGGAGGAATGCCTCACACAACTATGAAGATGCACTGGGTCAATCCTGAAGACAGTGAGAACTGTTAAGAAGCCCTTTCAGCACCTAGGACAGGGAAGAGAGGTTGAATAGATACTTAGTTCGCATTGTTGAGGCACTGGTGAGACATCCAGAAGCTAATAACCAGTAGCTGTTGGATGGATATCTGCTCTTCAAAAGAGAGCAGTAAGTGAAATAGACAGATGGGATGGGTTGAGGGTATCCTAAGAGAGGTGGCAGGTAACCATCGTGATTTAATTATTCAAGAGGGTGAAACATTAGAAGAGGGCAAAGTAGAGAAACCTGGGAAACCCTTTGAAAGGGAAGCCAGCAAGGGAACCTGAGCTGTGGCTGTCCTTGAAGAAGGAAGAGAACCAGGAGAGAATGTTGTCAAGAGCCAAGGAAGGAAGGATTTCAAAAAGAAAAGCATGAGAAATAGTGTCAGCTGCTTGAAGAAGTGGAGTAAGATAAGGCTTGCAGAGTCCAAGAGCAATAAAAAGGGCTTTGGTGACTCTTTGCCAGGGCAATGTTTTGGTGAGATAGAAATCTCGTTGCAGAAGACTGAGGAGACAGAGGAGGAAGTGCAGAAGTAGAAGTAGAACTGAATGTATTCAGTCTAGTTATCTCAAGGAAGTCCACTGTGAAGGGAAGAGGAGAGAGGAATGCGATTGCTGTAACCGTGTTATTACACGTGACAGTATCACAAGTTTATAGCAGCTGAGGGCTGTATCTATATCTGTTTTGACCTGTCCCTGCTTTCACATAAATTAGATATGTTTAACTAATGAAGTGAATGATCTGTTCTTCCTTTTTGTCTTCAAAAAGAAGTGGGTGAAATAAATTATATTAACATATTCATTGTTACTTGGATATTTATAATAGATTAAATAGTTTGTTATTTCTCAGTAATGGGCCTTCATCTTGGAAGCATGGCTCAGAAAGAAGTGGCACAGGATAGTGTTTAATAGAGTTATTGTCTTGGAGCTAGACTGACTGTTTTCAAACACTGGCTTTGCGACTTAGCAGTTGTGCCACCGTGGGAAGGTTACTTAACCCATATATGCCTCAGTTTCCTCATACGTAAAATAGGGATAATAAGAGTAGCTTCTGTATTGGGTTGCCATGAATATTTTGTTTAATTAGCCTCTATAAAGTGCCTAAAACAGTGGTACATGGTAAATACTGAATAATTTTTAACTACTATTGTTATTATTCTCGTTGATTCCCACCTTGTTTGGCACTAGTTAATTTAAAAGACATAGATATTCTCTCTACCCCATCTTTTTCTATCTTAGTCACTGATGTTGGAGATTTCTCAGAATGTCCTCAGTAAATAGTATCTCCCTTTTCTGCTGGACTCTGAACTAGTACAAAACAAAAGCATGCTGAATGGGCATGCATAACGTGGCCAGAAGAGAACTCAGACTCTGCAGGCCTCTTCTCAGGGGGAGGATGGGCTGAGCTAAGCACATCCAATTACTCTCCCTGAATTTGCCGATCAGAGTCATCACGCTACCTCTGCAGGGACGAGTGGGAAAAGGGGTGGAGAGACCAGAGTGCTTAGTGAAAAAGCCCTCCCCAAGGAGTGGGGGAACGTTCTCACTAACAAGTCTGTAGAGGCGGTCCACCTCCTGGCCTCCTGACACCTTCCTTCCCTGCGGGAAGTGAGCCCTGCGGAGCACTCTTCATTCTGCTCCTCTGTTGCTTCCTCTCCTTTAAAGCACAGGCTGCCCCTTCCACTGCCTTCTATGGAGAACAAACTCTCCTACGTCTTTAATATTTCTATAAACTCTTCCATCGCTTTTCTGTATAATTGAAAGCTGCCTTTTCCCTTAATTGACTGCATTACTTGAAGTACTCTTTAATATATTATAGAGATTAATTCCCCATTTTCCTCACCCAGCAGCCAACGGGAATATTCCGTGTCTTTAACAACTGCTGTGGACACCAAACAATCCGAATGCCAGCCATAAACACCCAGGATGGCAGCAGAAGACACACTGGCTGAAACAAAAGCCAGTCACACGGGGATAAGAGGGAAAATGGGCAGCCTCATTGCTAAAGCATTGCTTCTCCATCTTTGAACAACTTCTCCTTGGAAGTGAATACATCCATCATTCTACACTTTCTTCACCTTACTCCCGCTTCCTCCTGATCTGTAGGATGCTCTTCCATATGTGCTCATTGATTTGAGCAACCACTTACCTTTTATTCTCCGTGCTTTTCTCAGCTATTATTTCTTGGTGTCAATATCCATATTGATGACTTTTTATATTTTGATTTCCAAGTTTCTTTTTACTTTATCTGTAAAACCCTTTATTCCTATTCTATATCCCATAGGCCTGGTCATAGTTGGACTGAGTTAACATGTGCTATCATCTTGGCATTCCCGAGATCATCGG